TTTCATCATAAATATTGCAAAACTATCTCAACACATTATTGCAAAAATAGTTTATATAAATAAACAGTGTTAAATATTGCACTCAAATCTTTTACAGTACATTGCTGCCCACTAATAGAAATCTGTTGCTCTACCACAGCAACCAATCTATCAACCAATCAATATCAAAAAACCTTTGAAATTCGCATCTTCACTTCTTTTTATAGGAGTACATACAAGTGTAGTTAATTAGCTAGATTACACTCATTTTAGCTTGAAACAATCTGCCATATTTATAATACTTTTTTTTCTTTATTGTTACAATATAGAGGAAATCAATTTAAGGTTGTCATTTCAAATTCTAAAGAAATAAAGAATAAAATTCCAGCGTAACTTTGTCCCACTTGCTTTCCTGATTTTCTTTTATTAATTTTCTTACTACTTACTCTGATGTTAACTTTTAATACAAGGAGTGTTTCTAATCATTTTATATGCCAAACTTTGACTTGACAAATTACTACGTTCTCCTCCACGAAGAACTCCAACTCCAAGGAACATTATATGGATGTGCTATTTTAAAAATGTAATAATAACAAAAGCCAACTGACACGTTAACAACAACTTCTGGCGCGTAGTAACCAAGAAAGTATATATAAATGTGCACATGACCTAAACTTTGTAGTCCTTCAATAAAGTAACACTATCTTAATTTGGTGAACGCATAACTTTTCGAGTCAAATAAGTTTGCGCCACAGTTAATTCATTTCACTTAATCTTTTCATAATGTCATACCAAAATTTATACTCTCGAATATATAAAGTGCACACTATTTGTATGAATATGTACTACATATATATATATAATATATATATATATGTACATGTACCTATGTTACTACTATGATAGTTATTTAGCATGACTAATACGTGGTTAAGCGAGGCCAAAGGTTGATATGGAATCATTAAAATAGAGACATATCAAATCTACAAAATTTTGATATTTCAATTGAATTTAAGCATAAAATATAATACATTATTCATTTAATATACAGAGATAATAGCTAAGATCATAGTTTCTAGATATTTCCAACGATTTACAGAACTTTCTTTCATTCGCAGTTGGTAATAAACTGAGAAAATTTATGGCATTAGCTCTCATTTGTTTAATAATTAATTTTAAATTTATAATAATTATTAAAACATCTTAAAAAATTCGCATAAACATTTAGACAGGACGGATTAATAAATCTAAAATCAAAATTCAATAAATTTAAGCACACATTATTTTATGTGTTGTACACCATAGCGTATGAGTGACATTTTTAAAAACCGATCACAATTTATACCACGAAGTAAATTATAAACTGAAATAGTAGTTTGCATTAAAAATGGGTCTATAGCTTTTTAGAATATTTTTTTTAAAACAGTTTTGCAAATATTTAATTTATTTGTCATAGCATTACTTTTATTCCGCTTGAGACACCATCGAAGTATAGTTTATGAAAGCTCAACAACTTTCTTTGTCCACAAAAAAGTTATCCATGCAGTTTATCTTTAATATGTGAGAACAAGATAAAGTCATTTAGTCTCAAATCAAATCAAATTAAATCAATATATTAAGAGCTAAAAACCACTTTTTAAAGGTTATGCGCATTATCGAGCTCTCACCTATCGACATATGGCGATTGGTTTTCCTCATTTATTCTTAAATTTATAGCAAAAAAATAGTGATATACGTTTTAAAATGATCAAACTTACTTTGTTTCAAATACACCGTTTTCACATAACAAGTTCTTTCAAAAGAAAAGAAAATTGATCATCTATTTCGATAAGCAAAAAACAGTCCCAACTTTTATTGTATGTGGTCAACATAAAACACCCACACAATCTTCTGCTATTTATTTTTAAGTACATACGTATAGACACAAGTTATACATTCATTTTGAAGTATTTCTTAACATTTTCTGTACAAAAAGAGACATAAACATCACTTTAGATATAATATAGCTTCCATTAAAAAGTTTTCATAATTTCTACAGCGAGTATTAAAAGGAATGCAGAGTTTATCTGTGTAGGTTCCTTTACATGAGCGACCAGTGAGAACTGTAGTAAGCCTTCCAGTATTCACGCAACCCCTCCCAATGAGTTTCCAAAATTTGTTCTTATTATATGGGGACCATCTTGACCAAGAAATCACAGATGACCTAAATATCTTCTATTTATTATTGAAAAGCTCAAAAAAGTAAAGGTAAGCACTTCTCTTAACCACCTCCAGAAGAATATAAACTATTACGATCTTTTTCAAACGATCTTTTTCATTCTCTTCAATGTGCCTATGTTCAAGAACCTAGAAGAAAGTAATGGTATCTACACGGTTTAGCTCGTTAATTGCCTCTTAACATACTTCAACTAGCTTAGAGTTTATAATAAATGATTTAATGATTTTGATTGCCGCTGGGCTGTCAATGCCATACTACATCCGTCCTTCATGTGATTTGTCTCTAACCGACATACTTCTCTAATCCCTAAAACTTTAACCTGAAAAACTATAATCTCATTAGGTAACCTAAATGAGTGGCTTTCATTTGCAAATGAAGCGAAAATTTTTACTTCTACCTCGGTAGAAAATTGATCAATTAGGTTACCCTGTATTTGATTTTTCTTGAGAAAAGACTATTGTAAATAACACATCTTCTTAGTAAATCTTCACCCTTAATTTAAAAAAAAAATGTATTTAAAGAAACCTTAAAGAAAAAGTATCAAACACAGTTAGGATTATGCTTTGGATTTAATTACTTATCACTATCAGTGTCAGTTATCAAAACCACTCACAGGACTTACATTCATATGTTTTTTTTAATAATGAAAAGTAGTCTCTTTGAATTTCAATTTGTTTTTTGATTTCTAATCTGATTAACATCACAGCCACCAACCTCAACGTAGTGTAAGAAGCCACAACTCAATTACAACAACAACAGCAACAACAACAACAACAACAATTTGTAGTTATGCAGTTAATTATCTTTACACTTGTTTATCACATACAGCGATATTCAGACAGATTGCTTTACAGCTTTGTAACCTGTTAACCCGCATGCATCATTTCTGCACGCCTGCTTATTTGTAATTGATGTGCTCCAATTAATTGCCACAGAATGCCGAAGTCATTACATTTTACGCACTACTCCAACTCCAACTCCTACTTCAGCTCCAACTTTTGCTCCCGCTTCTGAGACGCACAAGCACGCACGCACGCACGCACGCATATACGTGTAAATTAACGTCCATAAACAATATTGACAGCCATAGTTGGCAACACTTATTTTGCCACTAAAAAGGATATCCACACAAATAAACAAACAAACAAACACACACACACAGACAGACAGACAGACACAGACACACTGCCACTCAAATCACACTCATTCTCACGCACTTGCAATTGGAGCAAACGCACGCAAACGCTCACACACGCACATGCACGCACATGCACGCACTCACGTACACTGGCTCATACGTGCGCACTTTGTTTTCTTTTTAATTACCGCAAATGCTATGAGCGATGTGTAATACATGTGACGTATACGATTTATTGGGCACATTCGATTAGGAACAAAAAAAAATCTTAGTACATGTTGTGTAGATATGTCTCTCATCTTATTTGCCATGTTCAGTACGAGTGCTTTTAATGCTTTGATATTATTTAATTGATTAAAAGCATAAATAATTATTTTTGTTTCATTTACTATTTTTTTTCTTTGAGTGTGTGTTACATAAACAATGCTCTGTAATATTGCCTTCTATATAAACTGGTTCACACGTATTTGTGTAGTTATAAATTGAATAAAAACGATAAGAATCATTTCTTTCCTTTTTTTGTTTATTACACTGATTTCAAATAAGACAAACAAAGCTGGGGGAGAGAGAGGACTGAAGAGGTAGGCGATTTCAAATAGACTAAATTAATTAATAGTGGTAGACTACTGCAATAAAATTTCTGCCAAAGCCTACTGTGTACAAAATAAATGAGTATCTTGAAATATAAATAATGAACTTTTAAGAAATTATATCTTCAATGCAATTCAACGGGAGTGGGGTTAATATAAACCATCGCATAAACCCTAATGGTATCCAACAACATTGCCTTGCTCAAGAGAGATACGAATACATATATTCTAAAGTTTCCCCAATTTTTCGATGGCTACAATATCGTCTTCAGTTTCTAAAATCACTTATTCATTAGGATGAATTCTCTTTATCTGATATTTGAGATTTCTTAAAAATCCGCATACAGATAATAGTCAATGAGAACCAGATCCAGACAATACGGTGTTTGAGAAATTAATTCAAAACATAATTTATGCAATTTAGCTTATATTGTGATAGACTTGTGACATAAAAGAGTACAACTTTTTTTTTTATTAAAGATTATTGTTATTATTATTATTAATATTATTCATTCATAATAATGCATTGTTTTGGCAAGAGAGCACTATTTCAAATACATCAATATTCCCATAAAAATTTTTGGTTTATACTCTCTTTCTTAAAAATATATTTTACAATCCCAAAATATAGACACCAAAAACTTATCAGTCAATATTTGCATTTTTAATAGCTTTGGACAGTTTTCATTGGTTAATACGCCCCCTCGCCCTCCCCCTATCCCACCCTATTCACAATTTGACTTAACTGACTGCGATAATTGAGCAACAGTTTTTATCTGCAAGCGAAAAACAGTTGACCAATTTTTCGTTGGCATTAAAGAAAAATATTTTTTTAAAATACAGTGTGTGTTTAGGAAATGCGGTAATAACCGTTACTATAACCGCTTCGTTGATTATTGTGATATAACTTTAATGCAGGAAGTAAGATCTGCAAACAAAAACCAGTGAATAAATAGCATAAGATAATTCAGTATGTATTCATCGAAGATCTTAATTACCCTAAGATATGATAGTAGGTTATATGTGTTTACATGAAGCACTTGTCAAAAAAATCAATAGTTTTTAAAGGACTTACCTCTGTGTTCTGCTAAGAAGTTGAAGGCTCTTAAAAATTCTCTAAATACACATCTTTGTCTAAAATAAAAACAAAAAAAAATATTACTTCAATAAAAACACATTTTACTCTTAAATATATTAATACCTTATCAGCACATTAATGTATTAGTAAAGTATATATTAGTAGAAAAGAATACACTAGTTTACTTAACTCATTCCCAGCTTTAAACATTAATTTTTAATAGAATTAACTGTACTAAATTTTTCTTTTAACTCACTTCAATATTTTAAAGGAATAAAAAAAATTAACTTTTAATAAACAAGAAAAATATACACATGAGTATCACTTTAAAGTTATACCAAATAAGGTTTTAATATAACTAACTCTGAGGCTAAGCTAACCTCACCTCATATCTAAAATGTTGGACAAATCAACATCAAACCATCTCACATCCAGAAAGAAAAAAGTGAGCATATTTTCCGGCGGAAAAAAGGAAACAAAAAATGTTCGTAAGACATGTGAGTTTAATTTTTCAACTTAACTTAGACAACATTGCACCTTTGTCTGTCCGCCCCGTACAATATGTAGGTGTACGTAGAGTTGCTTTCAAGCATAAATACATTTAAACGAAAAGATATTTGCAACGTTTAAGTGTACAAGTAAATCCCAAAGATGCTCAGATGCTCAGATGCTCGACTACTACTCCAACCATGGCAGGTACAATTGCTACAACATGTGTGCAAAAACCCACAAATACTCATACGAAATGAAGAAAGCATTATCCTGAGAAAATGAATGTGCTGCTTTTGCCTTGCTCCTTTCCATCCAGGACCAGTGGTGCAGCATAGAAAAATAGATAAGCACACCTAATACTCGTACTCGCCCATGTACAGGAACAGATACACGTGTACTTATAAATTTTGTGATGTGCTAAATATATGAAAATCTCTCAATTGGCCACTGCAAGTCCTTTGGCTGCTTGATTTAAACAAGCACAGGAAAATTTTTAAATAAATATTTTTAGATTTGTTTGGAAAATATTGTGTGGAAAATATTTTTGATATCTTAAACATTTATTGGTTTTCTTTACCAAATTATTATTTTTAATAATGCAAAATACATATGCTAAATATAAAAACTCACATAAATGTTTACTAGTATTTATTTAATCCGAACAATCTTGCTATGGACAATATTTCAATATTTTCTATGAAATTTTAAACAATTAAAAATAATTTAAATATTTGAACAAGTAATACAACAACTTAATGAATGCTTAATGAATGACAAAACAAAACAATAAACAATTAATAATTTTCAATTTGTCTTTACTATCACATATTCAAGAAAATGTTCTCATCCTTCTTCTCCGCCTAATACTTTTACTCATGCTGCTTCCACTCTTCTTTCGAAAGCAAATTAAAAGAAATTTATTACTAGTTGTCCAAGTCAAGACTTTATTGTGTATTGGAGGAACTTACACGCACTTTACCTCACTTATTATATCGAGCATTTTTTTATGTATTGGTTGCACTGCTAGTAACACATTACTCTTTAACAGGATAGATAAAAATTCTCTTGACAAGTTTTCAACTGTGATCAAAGAGTAACAAAAAATTACACACACTGTACCTCACTTATTATATCGAGCATTTTTTTATGTATTGCTTGGACTACTAGTAATACGTTACTCTTAAGCAGTATAGATAAAAATTCTCTTGACAAGTTTTCAACTGTGATCAAAGAGTAACAAAAAATTACACGCACTGTACTTCACTTATTATATCGAGCATTTTTTTATGTATTGGTTGCACTGCTAGTAACACATTACTCTTTAACAGTATAGATAAAAATTCTCTTGACAAGTTTTCAACTGTGATCAAAGAGTAACAAAAAATTACACACACTGTACTTCACTTATAATATCGAGCATTTTTTTATGTATTGGTTGCACTGCTAGTAATATATTACTGTTAAACAGTATTAATGCTTAGTTTAGTTTACAGAGTGAATGATCAAGGCATAGAGTAATGTGTTTGTGCATTAAGATATATGATGACAATATGTCACAATCACAATTTTGTGTATAATAAAAACTGATTTTAGCAAGACTAAGAAAATATTGAAGATAACACTAACAGACTAATTCTCACACTCAAAAATCTTCCGTTGACTGGCGACTATACTTTCTGTATCAAGAATTTTATCTATCTTTGCACCGCTGTAACAAACAGCAATGATGTCGATGATGATGATGAAGAAGTGCTTTTAAGGCGTTCAGTAAACAATTGGAATGTAGAGCTCTCTCTTGAGAAAGAGCTGTATTGATCGCTCATCCTATCTGCAGTTCTGTATGGTAGAGAAGCATGGATACTATCAAATGATGAGACAGGATTGAGAGTTTTCGAATGAAGAGCCCTTTGTAAAATTTTTGATCATCTACAAGTAGGCGACAGCTACCGAATCCGAATAAATTATGAACTATACGAACTTTTGTAGGTCTTTGGTTATCTACAAGTAGGTGACGGTCAGCCTATCCGTATGAATCTTGAGTTGTAGGAGCTTTATCAAGACATTGCTATAATACAGCAAATTAACATTTAGCCGCCTCGCTGGTTTGGTCATGTCGACAAAATGAATGATGATACTTTAAAAAAAACGTATTTGAAGAGATAGATGGAGGGAGAGACTTTAGGCACAAAAGTGGAGAAAGTGCGCACTTAGCAAGAGAGGGGAGGCGCGTGAAGAAGAGAGCGCTTTTGCTCTCTTACTTAAATAAATAAGTAAATATCTTAAATGAAAGGGTATTTTAAAATACTCAAGCCAGCTTAAGACATTTTCTTGAGTTTTTACTAAAGATATTGAAATAATGAATTGATTTCAAAAGGGCTTTACCATATTCACTGATTTCCTTATATTCTATAGCAATAGAGTAGGGACTTTACTAAATCTTGTACTAAAATTTAACTATAACAACTTTCAAATTCTTTCCTAGTTTATTTGAGTTTCTAAAACAAAATTGTTACGTTAAATTTGAAACAATAATTTATAGGAATCGAAATGTAATTTTTAAAATTGAATAAAAGTAATGTCAAACTTGAATAGTGTCTTTAATTAACATAAAAAAAGTTACTCCCTCGTTCCTATACTCCTTTTAATGCACTTGCATATACTCTCCATTCAATTACTTAAGTTCTGGTTACCAAAAAGTCTGAGATCTTCACACAATCCACTGTCCTTGTAATTTACAGCAGACAAACTTTGTCTGCTTGTGGGCGTTCACATATATACCTATGTATGTATGTGCTGTGACAGTGACTGTTTGGTGTAGTATGTGTGTCTTTGGATGAATAACTGCTACCATTTGCTATTGTTCCATGCCATTTTTTTGTTTGCACTAGTGCTGGTACATTTTTTCTCAGGTTTCTTTTCTCCTACACCTGGTCTAACATTTTCATATCTAGTTTTTTGTTTCCTTTATTTTTGGTTCTAGTTGTTTTTGTTTTTGACTTGTGAGGCACATCTATTCTCTCGAGTTTTACGTTTAATGCTGAAATAATATCTTTTAATATCACTTCATGTAACTGCACGGTATGGGCCAAGATGAACACAGTGTGTTCTTGTTACCAGTGGTTGAATTAAAGACAATCTTATTTCTCAAACACTTACGCCACAAGGACTACAACAAACAATGCCCACACGTACAAATTATGAGAAGAAAATGATGCAACAAGAGACTTCCAACTTTTTTCTTTACGAAATTGGCTACTGGCTGATGTCAGTAGCATTTCTTAGAAGATTTTTTGCAAATTTCATGAAAAAATAAAATTTCATATTTAATTGGCCATTTCAATTTTAGTAAAAAAAATATTTACATATTCATTACTATTCATATATATATGGTATATATAATATATAAGAATATTATATGAACATAATTGTTTGATTTGAAAGTTGGAAAACCAGAAATTTAATTATTGAAAACAATTTGTTATGTACGAAAGTACTTATAATTCCAATTATCCAATTAGAAAGGCATTCTGTTTTTTGGCAATAAAACTTCTTAAACTTAAAAGCTGAAAGTCATTTATCTTATAGATATTTGCACATTAACGTTTGTGGAACTAAACTTGCCAGTAAACAAATTTAAACTATACAAGGTGATTCAAGGGAATTATGGTGTCCATTAAGAAAATAGAACCCATGCAAATTCAGTATTAAAGACCTTTTTCAGAACTCTTTGAATAAATACAGATTTGATAAGGAGAAGGAATTGAAAGAACTTGAATTTTCTAAGACAAAAATATTTATCACCCCAATTTCACCCCAAGTAGTGAGACTAAAACTGGTCATCGTTTTGATAAGCGATAAACTAAGTGGGTGAATTACAACGAAAATCGAGTCCTCCCTAATCACCTGAGAAAGCCATTTTGAGTTCACATTCCTCGTAATTGTGTGTAGAAGAATAAACACAGTAGAACCAGCCGGACGCCGAGTATACTAAATATTAGGAAGTCTAAAAAGTTTTGTCTGGTTCTGGATAAATCTGAACATAGACACAGAAGGTACTTCGGCGTCTTCTTCTTTAAGCGTCGTTAGACTTATACTACAAAAGATTCAACAGAGCAAAGCGAGTCTGGTTTTATACCGTTCTATAGTCCAGTGTGTCATTAAAAAAGATATAATTTTAGAAACTTTCCAATTATTTCTGTGTACAAAGTCAAAGGTTCTAATTCCTATTTGCCTGTCGCAAAAAAATGACAACATATCAATTTTCATTAGTGGCTAAGAGAAGCAGGGATTAAAACGTTCCCCTATAAGCCGCTGAATGAACAGAATGAAGTACAGAATGCAATCTCTCAGCCATTGTTGATTATCACACAACGTTATAGTTATTACACTCAATTTTTGATACAAGCATGCACTCAATCAGTTAGTAAAACTAGTATTTAAACAACACATAACTAAGTAGTATGTATGTCCAGCTTAAGACTCACAAGCACATATTTTATCTGTAAGAGTAATGGTGCTTTGATTTCTTCCACCTCAGATTATATTTGTGTATTTTCTAACTGTT